ATATAGGGGCAGTAGTACGTACATCTACAAGAGTTTTGAAAATGGGTATTCAGTTGGAGAATTTTGTGGAGTCGATAAAGTCGAAGGTGAGAAAATTGAAGAAATTGAAGAAGCCATATATCAAGATGGACAAAAGTTCGAGTGTCAAGGTTGAGATTCGCAGCAAGAAAGCTCGTAAGCTCGTCGAGAAAACTCTTCAAGCCGCTGATCGTCCTGGCAAGCGTAGCCTTTAATATTTACCCATAGTTTTATTTAGATGCTGCCATGGATTATATATTCATTTCGCATTCACCAACAAAGCGGAGGTAAATTCAGAATTTAGAGATATTGGGTTCAAAATATTTGTATTTGATTATATACATTTTACTTAACTTTTTCGTTCACTCTGTTCATCATTGATCGGAAAAGTTGGCCCTTTGGACTTTGATTGTGAGTCTAGTCTCGATTGCCTGATGTCTCTCTATATTTGTTTAAAGTTGGGAATCCTTTTTGGTTTTTTTTTTTTTTTTGGTAGGTGATTGTGAAAAGGAACAAAATCTAGGCAATTTTTGTTAGTGAATTTGTAACTTGAGTTTGAAAGTTTGAAAAATTAGATGATATCTTAAGACTTTTTTGAACATGAAATATATCTTGTGGGCTCTTTAGGGAACGACTCCCTCTGTTCCTTTTTTACTTGTTACATTCCATTTTATGAGGGATAGTTTGATTAATTTTTGAGCTAAATTGTGTTAGAGTAATTTAGATGTTCAAAAACTATTTGAAAAATACTAGAAGTTGTAATCTTTCTCATATAGTATATCTTAAAATGTCAGTCAAAGTATATGCAATTTGATTCTCGAGAAGCTGAGAAATAAAAAGGAACGAAGGAGAAATAAGATACCGATCCGTTCAGTTTTACTTGTCCACTACTATTTTGGGATATGCAACAATACTTAATTAGTTTATAAAATCAATTAATAATTTACTACTTTGTGTCTATTTTACCCTTGTTATTGTACTGTATTGCTTTTTCAATGTTTAGATAACTTATATTTAATAAGGGTGATTTTACTACTAAGGCACCCTTATCATTTACTGTTTTTTAATCTTCTATATCAAATTAATAATGGACAACTATTTTTGAGGGTTGTGACTGCATTAATAGTTGGTAATGTATTATTTATTGACACATTAAATAAATATGTTAATTACTGCTGCTAGTCTTTGACTCTTGTATTATGGGAGTAGGTTTTTAAGTTTTAACCCAATAACATTAAAAGTTGCATGTTGATTGCTGGGGTAGGTATGTTGAGCCATATTTAGCAGAATGGGTAGAACAGACAGTGCCATCATGGCAACATGGCCACGAGAATGAAAGACCATTTCTAGAAGGAATGTAAATTTACCACTAGTGACGAAAACAGAAAATTTTAGAAATCGTAAACATGATAGACCTAGACATGATAAGGTTTTATAGATATAATTTTGATAATTGTGCTTTATAACTATAGTTTTGTTTGCAATGAAGATTGCGGTTTGTATATTTCTGCCAGTTTATATATTTCGTATGCGAAAATACATATAAGGTAAGTATATACCAAATTTGTATTTATATTTAAGAATTTTTTAGAACTCCATTTGTATATTTCGCTTACCAATATACAAACAGGGTAATTTATTATGAAATTTTCATAAATCGTATACAAATAGCGAGGGTAAGCATACAAAAAAATATTCTGAATTTATACAAATCAGAAGAATTATACAAATTAGGCGAATAACAAAAATTGGAAAAACTATAGCTGTAAATTACAATTTACTTAAACTGTAGCTACAGTACCTAATATAAGCGAAATGTTTACTATTCTACATATTTTTTCCTTTTAAAATTTAAGACGCACTCTTCCATTTGAGCAGAATTTCTACTAATTATTTAAAATATTGTTGCATTACTAAAACCTAGCTTAAAATCAATGGTCAAAATCGATGGACAACGTCTAATTTTTTTTTTGGATGAACTATTCAACTGTGGTGAACTCTTATTTGCAAATCATACAAATATAGTCATTTTCCTTTTATGTGAGGTGTTGTTGGATTTTGCCAGATATGAATGAGAAATATAATATTCAAAATGGAGAAAATGACAAATTCAAAAATGAAAAGTTTCTTTTTACAAATGGACTTTGTCCCTCGTTGGCAAGGGAAAGCAAGACTAGTATGTTTATATAGAAGACGGGCTAGACTTGGGTCAAGAGGGTTCATATGAACTCACTTTGTAAATTTTTCATTTTAGAAATGGACTTTGTCCCTCATTCGAAAGGGAAAGCAGGACTAGTATGCTTATATAGACACAAGGCTAGATTTACATTGGATCAAGAAGGTTCATATGAACCCACTTTGTAAAACAAGTACATGATATATATACTTATATTTGATTTATCTTATGAAAAATACAAGTATAAAAAAAACGGATCCCATTTAAGCAAAAGACAGCTATTGGTCCAGCAGTAAAGTTGGTTATTTTTGTAAAAGTGACATAGTTCAAAATCAGACAACAACACACTAATTTATTAGCTTTTTTGTGAATTTTTTCTTCATATATTGAACTGTGAATTTTTTCTTTAGATATTGAACCCGCTTGGTAAAAATCTTAAATCTACTATTACTATATAGAAGCACCTTTTCTAGCTCTTAAAGAGTTGAAAAAAGAGTCCCGTTTGAGATGTTTGAATTTAGTCAAATGATGTAATAGATTCATATGGTTTTTTTCTTTGGATCAAATTAACTTCACTAATATAAATCTTAATTAACTTTCCCCTTCTGGATTGTTTTCCTGGACATTTGTTAAATTTGCATAATTATGACTTTTTCCCAATTTGATTCTTATCCTTGCATCATTAACCATCATTTGCATAAATATGTGATTATGTGTTATGAAATATCACACTTAATTAGTCGAGTTGAGTGATTTTACTAAAAAAAAAACTGTAAAAGAACTTCAACTTTAAAAATATAAAATAAGATAATACATATATAATTTTCAGGACGAAATGAGGATTTGTAATTCAAACTGAAAATTGGTTGACGATGTTTTAAAAACTAGTCAGTAGTCACCTAACCAGAGAAATCTTTCAAAAGACTACAAACCAAACCAGTTAATGATATGCACAATTCTAATGTCAAGATATTCACGACTACAAAAAGACATCTCCTTGAGCAAGGCATGTGCTTATGCATTCACCTGGATTATATCTCTTAGATGGAGAAATACTCTAAACAAAAGAAAGATATTTGTTTCTGTGATCACAATACAAAATTAGCCTATGTTTAATACAAATTAATTTCCTGTAATGTCATGTTGATATATATATATTACTAGGTTCAAAGTGAAAAGTCTAATATCAGGCTTCTTTCTTTACACATCTATATGTATCCTTCCAGATATACCAGCAGCAAAAAAAAATTGTGCCATTTGGGGTTCAAACCCAAAACTTCTTCACTCAAATGGGCACATATTACCACTACGCCAAAGGCATTGCTTTTCTCAAGGATATATATCCTTTAAATATAGTATTTGACATATTTATACAACGTAATTTTCTGACGAAAAGTTGGACACCCTGGGGTAGCTCTAGCTACGCCCCTGCTCAGAAATGGTCTGTATCTCTTAGGGGTCATTTGGTATGAGTGATAAGGAATAATAATAATGAGATAATATGCAAGGTTATTTTATCCTGCATTTGGACAGGAGTATTAATTAGTCCCAGAATCACTTATCATAAAATGATCAGATAAGTTATCTCATATAACTTTGTTTATCCCCCTACCAAACAATCTCGAAGGGGTTACTATACCACAAAAGAAATACTGTAGCATAGAGAGTGTGATATAGTTAAAAGGCAATCATTCGGTATCTCCTTGAACTTATCAATTAAAGGTGCAAATACAAACTCCAAAATTATCCCTGTCCTTTCAGAGTTGCTGGCATCTCAATCATGTTTATCCTTTGGAAAATTACAATTGCAAAGTCACAAGTTCCATTTTGGAGGTGAGACAGAACAATTAAAAGGGGACTAAAGACTCATTAAGCTGTAGGAAATCTTTGTCTAAGCAGAGAGATTAGCTTATACATGTAGTGGAGCATCAATACGAGCAGAGTTCTCTTCCTAAGTGAAAATGATCATCTTCAATTGCTGCTGCGCGTGAGTTTAAGAGTTGAGATAGATAGATAGATAGATAGATATATGACATGCTGAATCTTGTATGCTGGCAAATGGGAACTTTCCTAATAAACTTTCTAATGCAATCAGGCTGGCTATGCATACTCACACTGAGAAACAGTTATTTATCAGATATGCTACCCATCACCCAGGGAAATTAATTAATTTCCTTGATTTGAATTTCACCTCAGTCATTACAGCTGATGTGTCCCTTCTAGCTACTACTCAAGCAGGCTTCAGATTGGAGAAGACAAATTGAAATCTTATTCCTACTTTACAATGAACTCAGAGAGACTATGGAGCAGTCAGGTTTTAACGGTTCAGACAATGCAATCAATTGGCGGATAGACTCACTCCTCTAAGTCACACATACACTAAACCTTATTTAATTAGTTACATAACTTCTCTGAACTAACCTAATCTGATTAAGGGACTCTTGAATCCCTTTACGGATTTTCAACATGAAAAAAGCAAGAGATTTTCTTTCAACCACCTTGAAGAATGAGGATCTTGTATAATTTTTTGGAGGTAACCCACCTCTAGTTTAGGTGTTTTTCATATTCATCTAGGCTTTTACCTCGTCGTTCTTTCTTTAGATAGATCAGTTGTCCTACAAACTTACAAACACCGTCCTCAAATCATATGTAATACAATTTGGATGATGAAAACATGTGCAGTTGATTTAAAAAGAAAAACTTTACTAGATTGGAATGCTATATTCTCGAAGAGATTGCCGATTGGCTGTTCTCAGTTGTTTGCCACAATTTACTCTTTATCTTTACCTATTTGACATTTCATTAATGACTTCAAAGATCGTAATTTGTACCTATTCTTTTGCTAAACCAAACACTCCAACATTTTGTTGTCAATATCAAATCAGATGTATTAAGCAAGCAAATATACAATACTACCATTACTCTTTTGGAAGAACAAATTGAAAGCTTTACATACCCATTATCAACAAGCTAGCTATACTTGTCGCTGAACCGATGACTCCTTTGTCAAAATCCAACCACCCCAAAACTCCATAACAGTAAAGATAAGCTTCTCTCTTAAACAAAAACGCAAACACCTTACATACAAAAACTATTCATCACCCTCAAATCCCCCACTAATTTCACAAATCTTATCCCAAAACCCCTTTTCCACCGGCACAACAGACAACCTACTCTGTTTAAAAAGCACAAAACCCTTCAACCCTTCATCCCTTTTCATCTCCGCAAGGTCCACAACCCTCCTCATCTCACCAACCGCCTTGACATCCACGGCGCCACCACCGTCATCATCATCATCTGTGTACCATTCACGCGTCACTGAGACTACACCAACTATCCTCCGGGCTTTGGACCCAGAGTGGTAGAAGAAACAGAGATCTCCTATGTTCATGGACTTTAGATACTTCTGGGCTTGCTTGTTTTTTACTCCATCCCACTTTGAAATTCCTCCATTAGCTTCTTGGTCCTCCCATGACCACTCTCCTGGTTCTGTTTTCAGTAACCAGTACTCTGTTTTTCGCCCCATTTTGTTCTCTTTTGAGCTTCCCTGATTTTGTTTTCCTTTTTATATTATTTGTTTGGGGACGGTCAATTTCTTAATGGCGGGAGTCTAATAGCTTTGGCGCCAAAAACCAAAATTCTTTTATTATTATTATTATTATTATTATTATTATTATTGAAAAAAAGTTTGATATACATTTTAACTTTATCATTTAGAAATGATATACATTTAGAAATAATATACCTTTCATTATACAAATAATTCTTATTTATCATTTTTCTCTAACAATATTAAAAAAAAATCAATTTTAAACTTATTTTTATTTTATTTAAAAATATTCATTAATAGGTATATTTGATACTTCTCACACATATTTTCTGCATCTTTAGTTTAACGGCTAATTTTAATTTATTAATTTGATCGTTAAATTTATTTCTTCACCAAATTTCTTGTAAAATTTATCATATATGCCCAATTTCTTTTGTAGATACAAAACAATACAATATAGCAAAAAAAATCAATTAAATTTTTTTTTCTTACTTTTTTCTCTTTTTCCAAACACACTTCATTTATTTCTCATATTTTTGCACTAATGGATAAAAGAGAAAAAAATAAAATATGAATTAGAAACTCAAATAATGATAATCAATGAAGTAAAACAATCATATGTTAAAAGGATTATATACACCCCTATAGGGGTGTTCACGGTTTGGATAAAAACCGATCCAAACCGAAAAACCAAACCAAACCGATAAAATAGTTTGGTTTGGTTTTAGATTTTTGAAAACCGATAGTATTTGGTTTGGTTATGGTTTTATTCGAAAAAAACCGAAGAAATAACCGAACCGAACCGATGAATTATATACATATATTTTATTAATATACATACTTAATATATTATTTTTATAAACAATTTTAAAGATCTTATACATATTTTCATTAAAATTTCTTTATAATTTACTTATTGAAAGCAAAAATGCCCAAGATGAAACATTTATCTTATTGATTTCATGTATATGAGTGTGTATGTCAATTTTTTTGTGGGACTGAAAATGTTATTGTCTCTTCCTTCTAGGCCAATATAGTGAATTTTAAAGCTTTATTGATAGTAAATTTAGTGATTGAAAGTTTAGTAATTTAAGTCATTCTAACTATTTTTCGTTTTGAATGGATTGTTGTCACTTTTTTCACATTTTAAATGAATTGTTTCTTTTATTTTTGTGTATGGTTAATAACCGAATAACCAAACCAAACCAAACCGAAACCGATAATCACCAAACCGATAAATGTATATTATATTTGGTTTGGTTTGGTTTTGATAATTTTAAAACCGATTAAGTTGGTTCGGTTTTGGTTTTGACCAATAACCGATCCAAACCAACCCGTGAACACCCCTACACCCCTATATGAATTTTTCCAAAAATTAAAAATCAAAAAGTAAATTTAAAATTATTTATTTCAATTCTGTTTAAAGGGTATAAGTGAGTCATTCTTTTACAACAATAGGGGTATATGTAAGTCATTTTTATAACAGTACGAGTATGGTATATGTGAGGCATTTCTAATAACAGTATGGGTATATGTGAGCCAATTTTTTAAGGCCAAACACATATGCAAACCCTTAAACTTGTTCATAAATTTTATTTTGCCACTCGAACTCAACCTTGTTCCATTTTAACCCTTCAACTCTAATTTTTATGTTCTATTTTGACACTTCTTTCTAAGGCTGGTAATTGAACAGGACCGGTTTTACCGAAACCGGTCCTCGTTACCGAATTTAGTTACCGAAACCAGGTCTTATCGGAACCGGTTTTATTGGAAATTTCCAAAGGTTCCGTCCGGTCCCTTAGTTACCGGATAGGAACCGGTTTGGACCGGACCGGAACCGGTTCTTACCGGATCATTGTGTACCAGTAATTTTTATTTATTTTTTATTAACTTTAATTATTATATAATATTATATTATTAATTAATAAAATTATATTATTAAAAAACTTCAATTTAAAACTTTAAACTTTAAAGTTACTTTAAAGTTTCAATTGAATTTAAGTTTAAAGTTTAAATTAAACTTTAAATTTTAAATTCAATATAAAGTTATAAACTTTAAAATTTAAAGTCAATTTTAAAGTTTAAAGTTTAAAGTTTATATTGAATTTAAAGTTTAAATCTTAAAATTCAATTTCATATTAAAGTTTAAACTTTAAACTAATATTAAAATAGTTGAAAATTAAATTTCTAAAATGACTTGGATTAAATATAAGAGACTATTTTAAAAGAAAATCAAGGCGAATAGCCGTATATTTATTCAAATAAATAAATTGTACAATACAAATATTAGAAAGAGACAAAGAGTACATAATCTAGGTATTGAATATTAATTATTGTACTAACAATTGAAACTCTTTTTAAATTCTTTTCGTAACTTTTGTATCATTTCAAAAGAAACATTTTTTGGAACTTGTATTTGTCGTTCTTCTTCCATTGCTTCCATGTCATCATCACTATTATCACCAAATATTTCATCTATTTCGTCTTCTATTTGGCTATTTAATTGTGGTAGTCCGGTATTTCTTCTTTCGGCATTGACCCAATCTCGAAACAACACCGATATTTCCAAACTATCCTTTGCTAATGAATATCGATGATCTCCTATCATAAATCTCGTCGCACTAAAGGCTTGCTCCGAAGCGATTGATGATGCTTGAATCGCTAGCACATCTTGAACAATCCTAGCAAGGGTCAGAAATTGATTTTCACGATTCTTCCACCATACTAATATTGGAGCTTGAAGTTGTCCTTCTTCATGCCTAATCTTTTCCCGTGCCTGATTGAAATATAAATCAAAATCATTATTAGTAGATGATTCAAGCTCAAGATAATCATCCATCCAATCATCCGTATCATCGCTTCTAGGTTTACAAGATGGAGGTTCAACTATTGGAATATTTTTTTCCATAGATTTATATGTATTATATAACTCTCTAGCTTTTATATATATGCTACTTTTACAATCTTCAACACTAGGAGTTTCATCATCTTTAATTTCTAAATTTGCATAAATCTTTTCAACCATTCTTTCAACACCTTTTAATTTGTAATTTGGGTTGAAAGTAGTAGTAGTCAAATAGATTTGAGGAATAGGGAAAAAATATTTTTTGAATTTTTCAATCATAAAAGCAAGGGAATTTTCAAATCGATCTTTTCCTTTATATTTTGCAAATTCAGATGAAATAGCACAAATATTTACTAAAACAGAAGAAATAGTTGGATAATATTGACCAGAAGCAGCATTTGTTGCTTTATAAAAAACACTTAAAAATTCAATAAGTTCTTTTGTATTTTCCCAATCTTCATAGCCAATTCTCAAATTCGGGTCCGCATTATGAGCATTAAAAACTAATTGTACCGGCTCTTGATAAATATAAGCAACTTGAAGCATTTCAAATAAAGAATTCCATCTAGTGCATACTTCTTTTGGAACTTTTCTATATTCAAGTCCACATTCTTTACAACGATTTTTAAATTCTGTAATTCTAGCTTTTATTTTAGCTTTAAAAATCCAATTACAAGCAAGTCTAATTTTTTCACAAGAAATTCCAAATTGAGAAATACCATCTTTTACTATCAAATTATACACATGTGCGGCACACTTAATATGAAAAGAATCATTATCAATTGGACAAAGTCTACATTTTAAATAATCAATTGCTTTTAAATTATTAGAAGCATTATCTAAAGTGACACTCATTATTTTATCACATATTCCATAAAATTGTAAAACAAGGCCTATTTTTGTTGCTATATAAGCACCGGTTTTAGTTTCTTCAACATATTTATATCCTAATATTCGTTTTTGCATGTTCCATTCATGGTCAATCCAATGGACAGTAATTGTAAAATAATCATTACCATTAGGACTATGTCCCATATCAGAAGTAATAGATAATCTACCATCATAGTAAACAAATAAACAACGAAGAAAATGACAATATTCTTTTTGATATTTAAAAAGATCATTTTTAATTGTACTTCTTGGAATATCTTCATAATTTGGGTTATACAATTCCCGAATATACTGAATAAAACTAGGATGTGAAGAAAATGAAAAAGGCAAACCACAAACAGCAGCCATTTTAGCTAATTTTCTACGATCTTTTTCTTTACTATATGTGCGGTCAGTGCTTCGGCTAGCCGGGTTAGTCATATTTAATACACTTTGAACCATATTAGAACCTCCAACTCCCATAGAATTTTCAGGTATGGGTATTCCATTTCTATTAGCCCTTTCTATATCATCTAGGCGAGCAAATTCTTTATTACATTTTCTCAAATGTGTTCTTAGTCGTCCCGTTCCCCCTTGTGTACCCGTAGTTACATGTTTCATGATCAATTTACATTTCGTGCAAGTAACAGTAGTTTTTTCCTCATTTTGTACCAAAAATTTCCATACTAAAGATCTTTTAACACGTACAACGGTCTTTGAAAAAGTAGGTAAAGAGGGGACTTCATCTTGTTCCGGTAATTCGGTAGCCGGACTAGTAGGGGTAGGGGTCTCATCATCTTCCTCATTTATTTCTACTTCCTCATCTAATTCTTCCTCAAAATTAGTAAAACATCTATTTAAAGTCTCATGATTTCTTCATAATTAGTAAAACATCTATTTAAAGTTTCATGATCTAAAGAGATATTATAAGATATTAATGAAATAGTTTGTGAATTTGTGATTTAAATGAAAAAGTATGGGTATATTTATAGTGTTAAGAGGTAGAGAGGGGTGGGGGGCTGTTTGGAGCCATTTTGGGCCCCAGCCCAATGGCTAAAAGGGACCAACGGCTTTATAACGTTCAACTTTTAAAAATAAAATAAAATAAAATTGATCGTTGAACCGGACAGGAACCGGTTCTTATCGGATCGGAACCGGTTCTTACCGAACCGGATCAATCGGATAAAAATCCAGGTTCCGTTTCGGTACCGATTCCGGTACCTATAAGACCGGTTCCTTACCGGTTCAACCGGTACCGGACTTACCGGTATGGGAATCGGACCGGAAAAAAACTGGTCCAATTGCCAGCCTTACTTCTTTCCAAAGAATTAACAAAGTGGGATGTATGTACTTTACATGTCATGACATGTCACAAAAACCAATTAAAAACACATACACAACTCCTCTAACTTGCCCCTATTAAAGGCAAAATGATCTTATGGACTCTAATACTCATATGAGTTTGTATTTGAACTCTTCTATGTCACGACCCGATTTCTCAAGTCATGATGGCACCTACTATAACCCACCAGCAGGTAAGCCAACCCGTAACCCGGAACAACAAGTAATGAGTCTGAGGGTAGAAACTAAACAAGAGTAGACAAATAACAATATAGACAGGCAGAAGCAAACCAAAACATAAATACAAATAAAGATCCCTCCCAGAACCTGGAAGTCACTAGTACAGAGCTACTAACAAAATGAGTACAAGTCCCAAAAGTGGCAAACAAAGACTGAACTGTCTCAAAAGGTAAAAGACAAGTCTATATATACAGATGGAGACTGAAATAGTACAAAACGCCGTGCGCTCACCCCCGTCTCCGGATCAGACTGCTCCAAGCTCGATCAACGCTGGCTACTAGTGCCCGGACCTGCATCACGAAATAGATGCAGAGCGTAGCATGAGTACCAAAACAACAGGTACCCAGTAGGCATCATAGGCCGACTGAACTTGAAAAGTAAAGGCAATATGAAAAGAAGGAATAATACAAACCGAGGGTCAAGAACTAAAATCTAACTAACAAGGGAATGCACACGAGTGTACAAAGAACTAACTAAAGTAATCTATAAGCTAACTACACCTAACTGGGCCCCCATAAGCCCAGAAGGTACACTCGTGCGCAAGTTAAATAAAAACCCGAACGGACCCCATAAGCCCGACGAGTACACAAAATAACTATAACTAAAGAGAATTGCATAAAAGAACCCATGAACGAAGAACATCGAACCAGAACCTCAACCCTAATTAGTAGAATCTGACAGTACGGAGGCCGGACCACGAACCGCTAGCCAATCAATGTAAGTCCTTGGAATCAAATCAAAAATCAAATTCAAATCGCGAAGTAGAACTAGTGTCGCCGATGTAACTCATGAAGCCGTAACATCGGGGAAAATAAGGATAACTATAGTCGGAGAAAGAGTATCGCCTAACTAAGGCCCAAACTATCAGACTCAAGTCTGCTACACCAGTCTACAGGGATCTAAGCCGGCCGAGCGACGCCAGGGCAAAACCAAGGCCTATTGGATCCGAATCATGTATTTCTAAGGCAAGCCCTAGTCAAACCTAAACTAAGGCCCAACATGCTTCAAATAAATAATAATTAAGCATGCAAGCACTCCACATAGCGAGGAGGGTCCGTTAATAACACAAAGCATGCTCACAGTTACCCGATAATTCTCGAAATAGGCCGAAAACATGATTTCTAATCACCTATGCATGATTCAATAACTACCCAACCCAAATCCCAACTAATCAACATGCATTCACATTCTCGAGCTCAATCTAAGAGAGGGAAAATCGTAGCCTACCTGTAGGCCAATCACACGAGCTCCAAAATAACTTCTCCGGAGCTTTCCCTTTCCGAACGTCCTCGAAACGCTGCCCCGCTATCAAAAAAAGAATCAAAACGTTATTACAGTCGTTTAGACACCAAAATCACAACAAACGGAGACGGGTCAATTTTGGAGTCAAAACAGGAATCGTGGGACCCGTGCAGAAAATTTCGAAATTAACCTCAAAAGTGGGTCCTAACCAGTTTTCCCAGCTCATGTCCCAAAATGGGACACAATTCGGGGCTCGGGAACAACACAATATCAACATGCAACTAAAACCCAAATTTTCTCAAAAATTAGAAATGGAACAGCAGTGAATTTACAAAAAACGAGCGGTCTACAGTAAAATCTGACAACACCACAATGTTTTCCTCGAAAAACCACTCAAGATAGCCTTGGAGGTCTACAGTGAAATCTGACAACACCACGACGTTCTCCTCGAAAAACCACTTAAGATAGCCTCAAAAATCACTGGATTCGGACCTAGAATGGCTGAGAAAACAAGTCTCAAAATCTTCCAAAATCAAGCTCACAAAAGATCAAAACAATAATGCCAAAAACCACAGCTCGAAAAAGGGTTCTGCAGTCAGGTTAATTGCAAAATTTACCTCAAACGGAGACCCCAAATCACTATCCGATCTCACCAACGCGTTGCCCTCGAAAAATCTCACAACTTTGCCTTTTGAATCGTCCAAATCGGTTGAGAGATGAGAGAGTTATGAGGGTTTGAAGTTTGGAATATGTTGCTGATATGTCTGCATTTATAGCAGATTTTCTGCAACTTTTCCCAAAATTAAAACTCCGACGGGGTGCTCCGAACTCGTTCGGAACCCCGTGCACGCAAACGAGACATGCAACCACACCAAATTCGATATTCCAGACTCAACGGGGCAGTCAAAATTACCATCAGAGGTCATTTCGATAAAAAGTGAGTCCCACTTCCAAAAGCCATTTTAAGTCAAAACCCACAAAAGGGCTCGGAAAGATATCGAAAACCTCCAGACACAAAAGAAGGGTCAATCTAGACCAAACTCGACATTCCAAAGCTAACCACGCTGACAGAATTCTCATCCGAGCACGTTTACTCAGAATGTTGACCAAAGTCAAACTTAGGCTTAAACTTAAAGTTAAAACGCCTAAATCGCACCGACTCACACTGAAAACCTCGGAAGTCATGTCGACCAAGCTACTAGCCTAAAATGACCCTTCTGAAGCTGATGGAATCGTCAGAATTGGATTCCGATGTCATCTTCTTGAACTTTTGATTGAAAATGATCGTTCAAGGTTCATAAGCTCCAAAACACAAAAACTCGCACCAAGACCAAACGAACGACCAGGTGACCGAACTGTCAGTCCCAGTAAGTCATAAGTGACTTGGGGTCGCTATAGGAACGCTCTAAACGACACACAGAAGGCAAGATACAGAAATGACCAAGAGGGTCATTACATTCTACTTGACTCTTTGTCAGCTGAACCTATAAGACCGGTTCCGGTACCTATAAGACCGGTTCCTTACCGGTTCAACCGGTACCGGACTTATCGGTACGGGAACCGGATCGGAAAAAAACCGGTCCAATTGCCAGCCTTACTTCTTTCCAAAGAATCAACAAAGTGGGATGTGTGTACTTTACATGTCATGACATGTCACAAAAAACCAATTAAAAACACATACACAACTCCTCTAACTTGCCCCTATTAAAGGAAAAATGATCTTATGGACCCTTATACTCATATGAGTTTGTATTTGAACTCTTCTACTTGACTCTTTGTCAGCTGAACCCTTAAACTCAATTAAAATGAGACTTTCAAATCCTTCCAACCATGTGTGTAGCTCACTCTCTCTTACATAAATGACATGTCATATCCACGTCGCATCTATTAATGTCATGTCATAATAATTTCATAACTATTTTTAAATTATTAACCAAAAATGTTACTCCACAAAAGACAAAAATAATAAGTTTTCTATTTTAAAAAATAAAATAAAATAGTTATTTCTCTCACCTTTCCTTCTCCTTCCTCAACCCACAACCACCATTAACACTATCTCTATTATCCTTAATTTTTTTTCTTCTTCAGACCGTCATTGTCTATTACCGTGACAAGGACCTACAAGTTCTTAAAAATCATAGTTCAATTTTGCTCAAAGTTTTTATCATTCGCAAATGTAACCATCTACCATCATTTGAACCACCATAAATCCTTTTTCACCATTGATGCCAATAAATCACCATTAAAATACTTCAATATATCATAATGTTTGTACACAATTTTACATAACATATTTCACTTAATTTCACAAAGATATCCAACAATCACTTTTCATCCTTCAAAAGTATTGAATCTTTGTCACCTCATGGGTTGTCTTACCAAAAAAAATGGAAAGAAAACATAGATCTACATCGACAATACATTATCGTTTCTCATAAAGAAAGAAAATATGGAAAAAAAGAAGAAGATAGAACAAAGAAATTGGAGAGGGCTGGGAAGGAGAAAAAGAGAGAAATAAGGGTTGGTGGGGAAGGAAAAGAAGAAAGAAGTAAAAACAATCATTTTTAATTTACTTATCTTTGTTTTTTTTTTAAATAATTAATTTTAGTCTAAATTTTGATGTTCATGCTCCTTCAACGCGTGATATCACGTATTTGTGCCAAATCAATAATTAAGTTGCCACATAAGCATGGCCAATGATCAGAAGAGCTTAAAATATTAAGTTTGATTGAGTTTAAGGGTTCAGTTGACAAAGGGTCAAGTAGAAGGGTTCCGAATACAAACTCGTACAAGTATAATGGTCCATCAGACCATTCTGCCTTTTTCATTTTGTCATGCTAACTTAGTTTCGTTCCATTTTAATCCTTCAACTCTAATTTATATAGTATCATTTAAACACAAAATACTAAATTTATGAATTCTTTATTTTTATTTATACTCTTCATTTTCACTTTTTCATTTTAAAAATCAACGTCATATCTTATTTTAAAAAAAAATAATAATAATGGATGAACATCATTTTTAAATAAATATATATTTTTAGATTTTCTGTACATTATTGTGTGAAAAAATATTTCGACGAAAGTGTGTTGGTTTTCTTTTTTTAAACAATTAATTAAATTAAATAACACCACGTATTTTTTATTTATTTCTAGTCTATTTGGACTAACTCAAATATCAGCTTTCTAATTTTTCATTCAACTAAATATGAGTAAAAAAAACTCATGTTCATTGCTAATTAATAACACTACAAAAAAATGTTGAAACTCGATAGACTTCGTTGGGTTGTCATTGATTTTCTTAAGAAAGAAAATCGATGCACTTTCGTCGGTTATTTTTCACGCAAAAATATAGGAAAACTTCTAAAAAGAAATTGTTACTTTTAAAAAAAAATCAATGATCATCCGTCAATTTTAATTTTTTACAATAACTAACGGATGAACGCCAATTTTTAAAATGCAAAATTGTAGTTGAATAACATATATAGAAATAAAGAAATCATAAAATTAGTATTTTGTGTTAAACGATACATAAGAAAAGTAGAGTTGAAGGATAATCTTTTATTATTTTTAAAAAAATTACTCTTTTTTGTCTTTCACTCTCTTAGAGAAAGTGTGATGCACACACTCTGCCACTTCACTTAGAAGTGCTGAAATGGAACATAAAAATTGGAGTTGAAGGGTTAAAATGGAACAAGGTTGAGTTGGAGTGCCAAAATAAAATTTAGAGACAAGTTTAAGGGTCTACATATGTGTTTGACCTTTTTTTAACGATGACATATCAGCTCTAAACGAAAAAATTAAAATGTATATCATGCCCATTTCCCTTTTATTTTAATTAATTCACTTTTAAAAAATTTGGGGTTGACATGTGTTGATGAATAATGGAAGGGAAAAAACATTAATTCAACCCTGAACTTGTCCCGAAAAGTCAATTGCATGCTTAAACTATCATGACAACATCTTACACACTTGTACTACTCAAAAGTGAATGTATTTACCCCCAAGATGTATAACACCACTCTCGCAATGAGAGATATATCACACTCGTGCCACTTCAATGTCATCTCACTGTCACATCAAATATCATGTCAGATTTCAAAAGAAAACAACTCATGTCATTCAATTGCTTCTTCTTGAATGAACACCACCATGGAATCACTATCATTGCCACCATATTAGTACCAAATCCAATTTCATTGTCAAAAATCAAAATAGCTGCTACAAATTTCATCACCTACGATTAAAATTATCATCGAAATCACGCTATCACCATTGTCCCCACAAAAATTGTAAGGAATCACTACAAAATTCAACACCGATAGGCCATAACCAAAATCATCACCAAAATCACATCATCACCATCAAAAGGTACAAACCCACCACCAATTATCACCACCACCATTATCAATATCAATTTCTTTTTTCGCCACCTTCAATTTCATCTTATTTTCTACCCACGACCCATTACCAACAAATTTATCATTATATTTTAATTTTTTTTAACGCAATCAATAATTTTATCAATCACTAACAAAATCGAAAAAGAAAAATCGTATGTAATAAAGATGGTAAAATCAGATAAGAAATAAACTACAATATGGAGGGTGGGGAAGAGAATTTGGTAGAGGTTGGAAGTGGGGTGGATGAAAACCATGTATGAAAGCTGATGAAAAATAAAAAGAAAATGAAGAATGTGAGGGTAGGGAGTGAAGAAGAAGAAGTGTGGAGTGAGGTGAGGGTAGAGTGGTGGTGGTGGGGGTAGAGTGGTGGTGGTGGAAAGAAGCTTTTAATTTAAATTTTTTACATTATTTTTTTACCAAACATGCTTTTTTCTAATTTTTATTTTATCCCCCCCCCCCCCCCCATTAATTTAGGGGGTAAATAAATTCACTTATGAGTAATACATGTGTGTAATAGATCGTCATGATAATTTAAAAGTGTAATTGATTTTTTGAGACAAGTTTAGAGGTGAATTTATGTCTTTTTCCTTAATGAAAAGAAGAAAATACAAGCGAAGATCAGATGCAATTATAACACAAAACACAT